CGCGGGCGGGGGGCGGCGGCCCAGCCGGACCCTCGCAGCCCCTTCCCACAAGGCGGGCGGCTCTTGCACAAGCATTTCCCGCCCGGTAGTCGCGGGTGAGAGGTGGAGAGCCGCCTCTGTGCTGCGGGGGGCAGCTCCTCCTCCTCCTCGGGCTGAGCCCGAGGCCCCCCCGGAGTCCCCCTGCCTGCGGGCGGGTGGTGTTTCTCTGGTAGCAGCCGCTCCAAACAGCCTGTTCTCCCTTCTCAGTCAGGCCGCGATCTGCAGCAGTACCAGAGTCAAGCGAAGCAGCTCTTCCGCAAGCTGAACGAGCAGTCCCCCACGAGATGTACTCTCGAAGCAGGAGCCATGGCTTTCCAGTAAGTATCTGTAGGCATGATGGGGGAACAGGCTTCTGCCGCCATGGAAATAAGTGAAGGCACTTCTGGTGTGTGTTTACGGCTGGGTGAGTGGGAGGATGGCCTTTAAATTCAGGGCAAGCTGGCTTTAGGTCTGCTTCTATAACAAGGGTCCTTTAAATCTCCTGCGCTGTCCCTTTCTTCAGAGATTCAGTGACATGAAAAGACAGGAACAGGAGTTTTTTGGAAGGGCAATCTTTGGCAAAAGAGGTTTTGAGGGCAACTGGTTGGCTTACATATGATGACTGCAACAAGTTTGGGTTTTTTTAATTTTTTCTCTCGGCTTCTGGTTGCCTTTGGTGGGGGGTTTATAGTGGTCAGAGGATGGCCCTGATTAACATAGTCTGGCCATCCCTATCTCCTCTTGGGTTTGGGTGTTGTCACCAGAGTTAACTGCAAAGTGCTGCTCTGCATTGTCCTCTTTCTAGAAGTTAAAACTTTCTAGAATTTAAAAACTCTCTCATTTTAAATGTTTCCATGGCACTGCATGGGTGCAGCTCTGACTGGCAGTGAAGCCTTGAGAAAGAGTCTGCACAGATCCAGTAAATCCCTTCTTGTGTTGCTTCCATGACACAAGCAAAGCGATTTCTGGGAAGGCTGTGCCACTTGCAGTGTCCAGGAAATCAAAGCCTCTTGACAGTGGCTGTAATGTCACCAGTTCTGACAAGGTGGGAGGACTTGGGCAAGCTCATGTTTTGACAGCTGTCTCAAAGAAACAGCCAGGTTACCTGTCTGGCAGTGAAAGGAGCGTTTCTCCTCCTGTATTGAGTTAGTCCCTAGGTGGGTTCCACAGGCAGTTAATTGACAGCTGCTGCTGCAAAGAGCTCAGCTGCTGCCTCCTTTAAGGTGGGATGTTAAGGCAGGACCTATATGAAAAGAATACTTTCAGATCAGAAAGCCTCCTGTGATAATAGTACAGGAAGGGGAGGAAATGAGAAGTTTAAGATTTAGTCTAAAATAATGCTGACTGCTGACCGTGCTGTTTGTTAACGCAGCATGCCATTTTTTCTGCCAAATCAGAGCTCTGCTGAGGGCAGCACAAACCAGGGCAGAGCATTTTGTGGCGCAAAAGTTAGAAGTGCGGCTAAGGATATTGCTGAACTTGCTGAGGTGGTATTGAATGTTTTTAGCTTGATCAATTCAGAGAAGAGTCTGGTCTTGCTGAAATGTGAAGCTTAAACTACGACTGCTGAAGTGATTTCTGTCAAATGTAGTGTTTAGACTTCGGCGCCAAAAGCTGTGTCACCCTTTCAGCTACAGCACTCGGCGTGCACGGCTGTGCAGGTACAGAAACACCGATGGAGTCTGCTGTGCTGTCAGCCAGTAGTTGACCTTTGGCTGATGAGTGGCTGAACTGGCCCTTACCTGTCATGTTGAAAACAACCCTTGGCCTTTGCCACTGTTACCAGGATAAAGCTTTTCTCTCTTAAAATGATCCAAGATAATTATAAGAAACCTGCTGGCTATACTCGGTGTGAAGATATCCAGAGTACAGAAGTTAGCAGTGGCAAATGGCAACGTCTGCCCCTTGTGTGCATACCCTGCCAAGCAGTCGGCATGATCGGGTGCTGTGCTGAAGCTCGGAGGCATGCTCAAAGTGTAAACATGAGAAGCCCAGCTGTGTAGGAGCTCTGCTCTGATGTTGAACTGAGGCTGACAAAATTGTCTGAATCTGGGACAGAACGAGGTGTGCTTGCTCTCTGTGGTGCTGACAGATCAACTTTAAATCCAACACATCTAATATCGCATCAGGGGAAAAGCAAGAGGGAAATACAGCTGAAGAGCTCCAGGCAGGACCAGCTGGCCCGAGCAGAGGTAAGAGAGCTGTACCGATGGGGAGTGTTCCTCAGACTGCTCTCATCTCGGTTTGCTGCTCTGGCTCTCGGGGAATACTGTCAGAATTCCTATCTGATGCCAGTTTTGCATATTTCAAAAGACTTTTTCAAATATTGCTGTTCATGACAGTGGCTAAATCAAGCTCTGGGTGATGATTTGTAGGAACTCCAAGCTGTTAAGCAGGTCCTCCAAGGGTAAGGGAAGAACAGAGGCGTGATGTACTGTAGGATTAGTCTTACACACTGATGCAGTCCAAGCTGACGGACATAAAAAGGAATAAAAGCATGGTCTCGTGGGGACACGCTTGTGGAATGGATTATAGTAACTGGAGTTTCTTGCTTCTGGTTGGGGTGGATCGGTTGTTATTTGAAGGCTGGTGGGATTCACACAGGCCGTATAGAGGCAGGAGAAATGGATACTCCTGAGCCCAGAAACAAGTTGAGGATGGTTAATTCAAAGGACTTGGACCTGTTGGGGTATCTGGAAAAACAGTGTGAAGGGGAAGTTGTTTTGTAAGCCTGATGCGGCTATTAACAAAATTTTAAGCTACTTATTTAACTACAGTGCCCTCGTGACTGGGTCAATTCTTTAATACACTGTTAATCTTTATGCTAACTAGACTGCTACGTAATGGCATTATGCAGAAAGTCAAAGGAAGGTAACATAAAAGTAGCATTTAAACTCCACCCTGAATAATACAGATAAATATTCCAAAGTGTATGCAGGGCTATCTACCGTCTCCACTCCCTTGGTTTTGGTGGAAATATTGTTGCCTTTATTTTTCCATTGGCTAAATGAGGAGGAAAATGTAGTTGGGAATGTGCAGCAGCAGACGGATGTAGCAAAGCCTAAATAACCCAAATCTCAAGATTGGTTCTCTCTCATCCCTTATTTCAGTAGGCTTTTTAGCTGGATTATAATGAAAGGCCCCTGTTCTCAGTGCCGACAGAGGCACTGGAGCTCACACTGAAACAAGGTCAGCACTAAACCTCTGCGAGCAAATACAAATTAGGTGCAACGGCAATGGGGTGGTGGGAGGAGGAGAAAAGGACCTCTCTGCACATTCAGCTGCGGAACAAACCAGACAGCATTGCACAACAAGACCAGTTCCTGTTCCAACGGATGTTTTGGAGCTTCTAACATCGCAGCCGAAGAGCTGGTAGCAAAGTCATACTTACCCATGGCAAACCTGTAGGGGAAGTCACCAGAACCCATCTAGCACCAATATTTTTCCCCAGCTGCCTTTGAGGTCACGCATGTGGATAGCGACGCCCCACCAACAGGCTGGTGTTAGGGGGAAGGGGATACCCAGCCCTCCAAAACAGAAAGCGGGAGCTGGCAGTCACTGGGTGGCTTTTTAGCACGCCGAGACCAAATACTTGTGCATGTCCGAATCTCGGGGCAGAGCTTCCTGTTTGTGGGCCTCAGGTACTTGGCTGTGCTGCCTTGCCTTAGAGCTGTGTTGGCCATCTTCCCCTCTACTCTTCTGGCAAACTTTCTCGTGCTCCCCTCCTTCTGACTGCAAGAGGGAGGGAGGGTGTCCTCCCTTTTTTACTCCAAAATTATAACTCCTTTGTTGCTGGTATTTTGTTAAGCTAATGATACTCACAGGCTAACTTTTGTTCCAGCGAAGTCAAAGTTCAGGCCCATTGGCACGGGTATAGGGTCTAAGGCTACAAGAAAATTTATTTTAGGTAAAGAAAAAATAAGCCATTACTTTGTAGAAAGGTTTACACCTGGTCCAAACATGGCAAATGGGAAGTCCCTGTACCCAGTTCTCATTGCCTCATAGGAATAAAAGTAGCAGGGTGGTGTTTCATAGGATAGGTTCAAAATTGGTTGATTAATGCTCTGTTTGCTGTTCTTCTAGCTACATCATTGAGAAAGGAGTGTGTTACCTGGTCCTGTGTGAAGCTGCATTCCCCAAGAAACTGGCCTTTGCGTATCTGGAAGACTTGCATTCAGAGTTTGATGAGCAGCATGGCAAGAAGGTGCCAACGGTCTCCAGGCCCTATTCCTTCATTGAATTTGGTGAGGTCCCCCTCCCTGTGGCTCATTAGGAAACTTCTTGCTGGGGGGGAGCAGCAGCCCCAGGATCCTCTCCATCTTGGCCTATGGAACTGATGGTTCAGCCTCTTCTTGGCACTAGAGAAATGGCCGTTTTGAGCAAGAGAGTAGAGAAGTGGTAGGGAAATGGTAAATGTCCTTTGATTCAGATTTCCTGCTTTAAGCCTCTTGGCCTCGATTCAGTGAATATTTGCATGCAGTCTGCTGGCTGTCTCAGCAATGCTCCCACTCCTTCGGCAGCTGGGCTGCTCTGTGTTAGGTAAGATTCCCTCTGATGGCTGCCTCTTGTTCCAGATACCTACATCCAGAAAACCAAGAAGCTCTACATTGATAGCCGGGCAAGGAGGAACCTGGGCTCTATCAACACAGAGCTGCAAGATGTGCAGAGGATTATGGTGGCCAACATTGAGGAAGTCTTACAGCGAGGAGAGGCGCTTTCAGGTACAGGGAATGGCTGATATTTGGCATATGGTTCCTTGTCCCCTCAGTCAGCTGGGTGGGTAGAGCATGCCGGAGGGAAAGGCTTGCTAATCCCTGAGCCTCCCGAGAAAAGCAGTGGACTCAGTGAGTGTTTCAGTTGGATCAGTTGCATCCTGAAGCACCTGGCAGGTGTACTGGTGCTTCTTTTGGGCGAGACCAGTGTCTCACCAGCTTGAGTGGCTCTCATCCCAGCAGGACAAGCAGTAGAGCACTGCAGATAGGCACAGGGCATGCTGCCATATAAAACTGCTGCGCTTCCAGCTGTTCCAGAGAAACTTGTACAGTTAATGTAACATTTGGGGAACATCTGGTTGGGTTCATCTTGATTAACTTCTCTCCCCTTTCCCTTTAACAGCTCTTGATTCCAAGGCCAACAACTTGTCCAGTTTGTCCAAGAAGTACCGTCAGGATGCGAAGTACCTGAACATGCGTTCCACTTACGCTAAACTTGCAGCTGTAGCTGTGTTTTTTATCATGTTGATCGTCTATGTGAGATTCTGGTGGCTGTGAGCAGGTTGCAGTCACGGAAGAGGGAAAGCCGGTAGCCTGGCAGGTGTATGTGTGCAGGACACTGTTCACGGGGGATGTGCATTAGAATCCACACAGGACCTTCACCTTTATGGGAGTGTCCTGAAATTGTTAGGTGACACCTGACTGCTACATCTCTTAGTGAAGCCTAACAATAGGTGCAAAGGCTTGTTGACTACAGGCTTTTCCTCTGAGGCAGTTTGCACTAGGGTACTGCAGAGTTTGGCCTCCCATGGTTCTGCCCCCCTCCCAGGGGCACGCTCTGGGAACAGCCAATCAGTGCGGTTTAGCGTAATCACATTGTATGTCCTCCTGTTGAGTAGCTCTAGTGGGAACTGGACTCTAATGAACATTCCTTGTGTTGGCAATGTTTGCTTTTTTAGAATCTGGGTCTGCAGTTATTTTTCTTTTTTTTTTTTTAAAGACAAGACTCCCCCTTTTGAAGGCAAATACTGCACTGTACATATAATAGCTTTCACCTCTGTCAGAATAGCTGTTGTTGAGTTTTCTGTGTCTGACATCTTGGCTTGTTACACTTTAAATTGCTTTAGGAAGAAATGGATGTTAAATTATGCCTTAAAATACATTCTGTCTAGTACTAGGAGGGGCAGTGAAAGGCTTCTATATTGCTGATTCCTACAAAATTAAACTGCAGGTTTGTAAGTGTCCACTTTCCCTCTCCTGATGGCTATGTATGACTGTGTTTCCATGTGAACAGGGTGTGTAATTCAAGTGCTGTTGGAGCGGGCACAGTGCAAACTATGTCAGCACTCTGTATTTTTCCCTTCTGTCTACAGATTGACTACACTATTTCCTTCCTTTTTATAACTGTGCTTTCCTTCCAAAATGTGTCAAAACTGCCAGCATTTCATCTCTGGGATGCTTGTTTTCTTTCTCCCTCTTTTCCCTCACCCAAAACAACCAAAAAACCAAAACTCTGAATGTTGTTGTGAAGAAAAGGCAGTGTTTCCTTAAAGAACACTTTAACTTTACATGAAGGATTCAAAAGGATAACTTTAAAACAGTGGAATCCTTTGGAAACACCATCTTTTTTTCCTATGGTCACCCTCTCCCTACCTCACTTGGGAAGTTGAAACTGTAGGTGAAGAAAAACTCGTTATGGGGCAATAGTATGTAGCTTCTTTCTCATGGGCCAATCTATATATTTCCAGTGTAATGTGATTTTTTTTTATCGGTCCACCTGTGCTAAGAATAACATTTTACCAGCCAGCTTTTGTTTTTATTTAAAAAAAGAGAAAAACCCCACAGCTCAGGCACTCTTCTGCCATCAAGTGTCTGCCGCTTGGTAGGAAGCAGGCGGTGTCACAGATGGAAGTTTCAGCACTCCCCAGCACCTTTTAAAAGCACATAATCTTGCGTAGTTCTGGAAGTATAAACTGTGACCTGGAAGTGTTTCCTGCCACTGGGTAGGAAACAGGGAGCTGTTGTCCTGTCTGGGAATGCTCCCCAGCTTGGCACCGTGTTGGACTGGCAGGGAAGCAGTTGGCACTTGTGCACCAATAAACCTAGCAAATCTGATCTGCCGTGTAGTCTAAAATCATCTGGTTTCTGCATCATGCCTCCAAGTGTTACTTTGTAGATTGCTTTATTATTATTATTTTTAATCCTTTTAAGTGGTGAGTGTCCCTAACAGGTGAATGTCCCAGTGATGTAGGTCTGTGTAATGTAGGTGCTGAAAGGTGAGCAGACACTGATCTTACGTGGGTTGTCGTGATTGAGGGGAGTGATGCTTCTGCAGCGAAGGGCAGCTCGGGGAGCAGTTGCCTCCTGCAGCCCCAGTGTCAGCAGTGAAATAAACGCTTCTGAAAAATCCTCTCTGCAGCATAGAGTTGCCCGTGTCTTGTTTCTGTGATCTCGGAGGATGCTTTCTTTCCTTCCAGGGGCACGAGGGTAAAGGCCCCATAGCTGAAGCCACCTGGGATAAGGGCTCCTTTTTGGAGGCAGAACTAGAAAAACATGATCTCTGCCATTTGCTGGCAGAGAGGCTATACTTTGGTTATGGCTTGAAAAACATGATCTCTGCCATTTTCTGGCAGAGAGGCTATACTTTGGTTATGGCAGGGGTCTCTTTCCCTGCTGGCATGTATCTCTGCCTGTTGGATGCAGGCAGGCAGCCTCCTTGGTATGGGCAGAGCCTCGTAGGTGTGTGGGCAGATTTTTACGGGGACAGTTTTGTGGCGATGCTGTTCATGTGGGGCATGCATGAGGTGGAACAAACTGAGAGCAGGGCATGTGTCCCCTATGGTGTGCATCAGTATTAACAGGGCACAGAGTTGCAAATGCTGCTTCCCTAGAGGCAGGCAAGGAAGGGTCCTCTCCCGCAGGCCAGCGTGGAGCTCCAGGGAGCGCTTCGTGAGCAACTCCCTTGCTGCATTCAAGATACAGAGCCCCTTTTCCTCCCTCGCACAGGGCAGAGGTGCCGCTGATGCTCTGTGCGAGGGAGGTGTAGGCTGGGGGTTGTTTTGCTGGGGGCTGTCTGCAGCTCCTGAGCAGCCAGGTGTGAGGTTAGTTGCTCCAGTCCCGCTGCTCAGGGCAGAGGGGAGGAGAAGCTGTTGCTGGTTTCTCCATGCATTAACTGACAGCTTGCTCAAGGCTGGGCTGGGTGAGCACCTGTGGGCTCAGGGACGTGGCTCCCTGCCCTGGTGTGCAGCAGCGAGCAGTGGGTGCAGGGTGCAGCCCTGCTGGGTGTGGGTGACTGTAGTGGTTGGGTTGCTGCTCGCTATGGAGTCACGGTGCTGTGCGCTTGGTGCTTGGCAGAGGCCCAGAGCTGGCCCCAGAGACGCTGCCTGCAGATGGCAGTGCCTGCACGGAGCTGGTACACAGTGCAGGGCTGTGCCCAGAGCTGGGGAGATGAAGGGGGCTCCTCCTGAGGGTACCCCCACCTCATTGTGATGCCCTAGCCTCCCCAAAGACCCGCAGCCTCGCTGGGCCTGGGCTGCCTCCCCATGAACCCGGGATCTACCTGCAAGGGCTCCTGGACTGTGCCACACAAGGCTGTGCTGCCTGGCCTTATCCCGTCATGCAGTTGGGATGCTGCAACTGAGCTGGATGGGAATGCTTCCCAGCAGGGCGTTTGCCCGAGTCGCCTCCTACCCAACGCCCGTCTTATTTCTGTTTCTGAGCTGCCCCTCTGCCTCCAGCGGCTCTGGAGCAGCCTTTGCCTGCTGGGTTCCTCCGCCGGGTGTCCTCCCTGGTTCCTGTGCCTGGTCCCCTCAACCTGGCAGGGGCTGAGGGTTTCTGTCCCATGCCAGGTGCATGCAGAGCAGAGGGGAAAGCAGGACCTGGGAGCAGCGCAAAGTCCTGGCACCTCTGCAGCACCTGAGCCCTGTGTCCTGGAGGGTGCTAGGGGCAGAACCGGGCTCTCCCTGGCCTCACAGTGTGCCCATTGCCACTGGGAAACCCTTGGCATGGGGTACGGGCAGAGAGCAGCAGGGTGCAAAAGAAAAGGGGATGGTGTGAGGTGCCCCAGGACCTGCTCCATTCATTGTGTGTGTACAGAGGTGACAAGCCTCGTCACAAGAGTGATCTTTCAGAAAAGCTGTCGGTTTTGGCTGTGCTTGCTGCTGCCACTGCTCAGCTCAGCTCAGCTCAGCTCAGGTCTGGGCACCCCTGGGTATCCCTGTGTCCACGGGGCTGGGGGTGCTGTTGGGAACAGTGCCTGCTGGAGGGACCGTGTGTGGCTGTGCCTACCCTGGCCCATCACAGGGCTGCACTGGGTGGCTTACACTGCCAGGCGTGCCAGTGCTGGGTGGCTGGTTTTTTTTCCCCCAAGCATCTGAAAAGCGAAGCAGTGAGAGCAGACGGGCAGAGCTGGTTCCCGGACGCTGCCAAACCTGCCCTGGGTGGGGCATGGCACCGTGGAGAGGAAGAGAGCAGCAGGACGGCGAAGGCTGGCAGGGTGCTCCAGTCACAGTCTCAAATATAAACCAGGTCCCACCTGGCAGGGGCCATGGCGATGCTCTGCACTGTCACCACTCCCGGGGAGCAGCCGGCTCAGGCACTGCAAGGTTTTGGTTTCTGTGTTTACTTGGGCACCAGCTGCTTTCCCCCGCTTTGAACCAGCTCCTCACACTCACAAACCCCTGTTTCGGGCAGGTTTTCAGAAAAACCCACTTTCAGCAACTTTCCCTCTGGGGCCCCAGGAGAGTTTGACCCTGGGCGGTTTCTGGCAGCTGCTTTGCCATGAGTGAATGTCCCAGTGGTGTGGAGGGCTGTGCCAGCATCCCTGTGGCACGGCAAGCACCTGCCCGGGGCACTCGATGCCAGATAACTGCCTGGGCAGCAACGGCCAGGGTGGCAGGGCTTGGCGTTTAGCCTTCAAGCCCCCTAGTCCTTGTCCTCCCTCCCTTGGGGGCTGCTGTGGGGCTGGTTGGCACCCGGGGACTCTTTCCCAGCCAAACGCTCTGTCTCTCTGGGGGGCTCTCGATCCCACAGGGGCCAGGGAGGGATGCCCCGCAGAGCTTGGCTGGGGGGCTCAGGAGGTCGCCTTCCCCACCCTCTCCTCGTGCTTTGCTCTGCTGCATTGCTGCTGAGGTGACCTTTCGGAAAGGAGGATGTCGATTTTCTGCTGCCTGAAAATGAAGGCTTTTCAGATAGCAGGGTGCTGGGCTTGGCAGCTGGCCATGGGCAGCTGACTGCCAGGACCAGCCCTCCTGCATGGGCCTGAGTCAGCGCCACGTCCCATCCCAGCGCACCCCCAAACTTTCCCGTCCCCCCTGTCCAGGGTGACGCAGCTGGGCTGGTCCCCAGCCTTGAGCACTCAGCAAGCCCCAGGGCAGGATGTGGGGCACCCGCCCAGCCCCGACAGCCTCCTCGCTCCATCCCTGTTGGCCCCCCAGACCTGAGCCCTTTGGGGGTCCCTGGGGGTCCCGCAGCTCCTGAGCCCCTGCAGCCAGTGCTGGGGAGAGGTGGGGTACAGCCTCTCCACCGTGGGTGCTCTGCCTGCACTTCCTGCACAGCCTCCGACCCAGCTGCCCACGCGTGTCCCCAGCTCTGCTTCCCCAGGGGCAGTCATGCCACCTCCCTCCCAAGCCCGTTCCCCTTCTCCCCTGGCTTGGCAAACATTTGGAGCCCCTGTGGGTGCAGGGGTACCCCGGGGTTTGCCAGGGTCCGTGCCCACAGCACTGAGCCCTGCAGCGTCCCATGTGGCTGCTCCCAGTTGGCTGTGGTCACGCCTGAGCTCGCAAACCCGCCAGAGGGGATAAAGCAGAAGTTGGGGAGTCCCCACTTCCCATGCCTACCCCGATGGGGCTGCCAGAACCCCGCCACGGGGCTTTCTCTGGGCTGACGGCTGCAGGGAGGAGCCCAGCATGATTTTGAATCATGGCTCAGAAAACCCCCTGCGGCTGAGCCCCGGCACTCTGCAGAGAGATGATAAACCTGTTTCCTCTGTCATTGCTTTTTTTTTCTTTTCCTTCCCCCAGCCTCCCACCAGCAGCACCCCAGTCCTGTGGGTGCTCCCCGGATGCTCCCCAGTCGCCCCGGCACGCTCTGCTCCCCTGGCACGCTGCCCACGCTTGCTGGAAACAGGACTCCCCAGCCCCGTGCCGGCACAGCACCCGGAGCGGAAAGTGCACCCTCCTCATCAGCTGCTGCTGGGGCCCCCGAAAATGGCAGTAGACACAGGATTTGCATAGAGGAGCAGAAATAAATGTGCTTGCTGGAGTCACGGTGACCCCGAGTCCTCTGCACCGGGACACGAGTGGGTCCCCGTGGTGCTGGAGCCCGCAGAGCCTGGGGTGTCTGTGGCTCCCTGGGATCTTTCCTGGAGCTGCATGTCCCCCATGCATGGCCATGAGCCCCTCGCAGCTGAGATGGCATCTTGCCCCCAGCATCTGCCTCGGGAGAGGAGGGGACCGTCGAGAGAAGGGACCTGGGCGGTCTCCGGCTCAGTGCTGACTTGGAGCAGGCTGTGCAGAGGCTCCCGCCCAGTGCCAGGAGGGATGTAATGGCACAGCCGGGGACTGAGGCTGACCTCTGGGTTCCGCAGGAGTAGGAATAAGCCTCTGTTCTGCTTTCCCATGCCCCTACTTGCGTGGGGACCGTAGGTGATCAGGGCCGTGCCCAGGTGGCCAGCCCACAGCGAGAGGTGCCCAGAGGGGTGGCTTGCATGGGCCATGCACTGGGAGAGGAGTGGGGTGTTTGTCGTCTGCTTTAGCTCCCTGGCAGCTGCCGACCAAGGGGGAGAGCTGCAGGCTTCCATCTGCGCAGCTGGTCCCGGGTACAGACCCAAAAAAGGCAACTGAAGGACAGATCTGAGTGGTACTGCTGTGCCAGCCAGGGTGGTGAGGGGCTGCTGTGCTGCGCCACAGGGGCTCATTGAAGTGATGAGCACTCTTTGGCATTCCTGTTCCATCACCTTTTGCTTGCATCTGTTGTCTCACACTGGGGTCTCTGTGGGAAGGGGCCACCCATGCTGGCATAAGGCGCTGGATGCTCCACGACCATCATTACAGCACCAGCTGCTACGTGGAGGGCAACCACAAATCAGTGAATCCTTGCTCCATCGCATGGCCAGAGCCAGGAGCATTTCAGGAGCTTCACAGCCACACCGTACATCAGACCAACCTTGGTAAAAGCAGTGTGCATGGAGCTGCGCAGCTCCGTCTGCAACATAAGTACTGCAGGGGCTGCTGAGAGCGAGGGTGGCGGTGCGGAAGGCAGAGGGTATGAATTCCCCGGGCGATTAAGCGGGGCGGCAGCGGTGGCTCAGGGCACCCAGCGCATTCCTGTGGGGCCTGATGCAGGAATGCCTTTGCACTTCTCTGGGTTTTTTTTAAGACGGTAAGCTGGCAGGTAAGGTAATCACGGCGAAAGCCAAGTCA